GTTTCCCCCTTAAATTAGAAACAGTTTTGCCTTGCGCAATCAGCTTAAGTCTGCCTGTAGAAAAATGATTTCGATTTTTCAACCATATTTCGTATTTGTATTTGCTTCGGGTTGTAAGCTAATCTTTGTATGACAGTCAACAATTTTACTTCGGAAAGTGCTTTTTAACCGAACCATAAAGCTTATCAGTATACGAACCCATTGAACCGTTATACCCATAATTATTATTATTGTTTACCTTAAAAATGTATAATTTTTTAAACATTATTATAGTGCGATTATATCCAGTTAAACTGCCTTTTCGGAAATGTAATTTTAAGTTTATTAATTAATCTTTACTGAATCGTAAAATTGCTTAAAACCATTCCAATAATTTTGAATGTGAATTAAGTTTTATTCGCTATTTTTAACAACGTTGTTAATCTTCTGTACCTTTTACACTTTAAAGTAACCATTGTAAGACATTACTCATACGCCGTGTGTGTGCCATCTAGCCCCAAAGGTTTGCAAATCAGATTCAATCAGTTTTTAGAGTAGTGCTTATTTAGGCGCAACCACCATAATTTGTTCACATGTGCGACATCGCACTCTACTGAGCAGAGGGGCGGTGTGGGGGGCGTGTCGCGTCCAAAGTACAGATTACAGTAATCACAGGCTTAATGCGCACAATTTCCTTATTGTTTTCAACCGGACAATGATTGCTTAGTTAGAGAGAACTTTTGACATAACCTTTGTTTCCAGCACGCCATTCTCTGCGTTCTTATTTCATATTCATAATACGACTCTTTTTGTACTTAGAGTTCATACTTTGACCGCGGTGTTCAAGTTCCGAATATCACTTAGTGAACTGTGAAAATTATTGTACCCGACCTATAATGTAACTCTAAACGATTCGACATTAAAGTATCACTATGTACAGCAGAATAGCCCCAAAATTGAACATCTGCTAAGATAATCTCCGATCAAAACAATTTATACACCGATTGAAAGGTATTGTGATTTTCTTCAGTATTCGGTACCAAGGCCTTTAATAGGTTGATTGGTTCAGGTGAAAAATATGAATTTAGAAGATTTAAGCTAAGACCATTTGCTCATATTCTTTACCGCAATACACGTCGATTGGTACCAAAACTATTGCAACACGATACTCAATTGCAAAGTTATGCAACATGCTCATAACGCTAATGTTTGCCCACATTGTATTGTAAGGTGTATACTATAAATTGAAATTGATTTAATGGATCACCTATGTATATAATTGGTGAAAATCTCAACAATCTTATTTTTATTTTGAAAGTTATGACTTACTAAGCTAAACAGTTTTGGCATGGTCAGTAGTACCGCTAACGTCCGCTAGGTGCCGTGGCGCATCAGTGGTATGTGCCGCGCTAGTCAAAATGCCCTGGAATTGTATTATATTTAAAGCAGAGTAACGGGTATCTTATAGTCGAGGCACACGATCTAAGCGTTCCTCTTGTTTTTCATTTAGTTTTCATTTCCTAACCTGCAACGGCAGCTAATCAACTTTCGCCTGTGTTTTGCGCCATTTGAACGCTTTGAACTTTGCACAGTGGGAGCGGGAGCCAAATTTTGAAAGCTAAATTGACTACCATATATTTTTTTAAAACCTTTTCGGATTTCGTTTACAGGACAATTTGCAGTTAAGAAAAGTTAAAGTCTAACTAGTTTTATTAGCAAAAAAAAGAAGAATCGAAAGTGTGGTTCGATTTACAAAAGCTTTTTACTGTATATTGGTGGTTTTACCAAAGTAATACATATCTGACTGTATAAATTACTTTTAACCCACTGTGCTGATTGTTTCGCAAACATTTTTATTTCGCATATATTTAAATACCGAATTGTGTTGTTTGCGCAGCCTTCGTTATGTTTTCATATTCTCTTTCTTCGCAAACAAAACACGTATTCACACCGTTTACGACTCTTCTGCGCCGAGTTTAAACCATATGACGGCGGTACGAGGGATAACCGACCAGAAGATCTGTATTTTGGGGCCAGTTCAATGCACTCCACCGCAGCGGACTGAAATAAAGTTTCACATTTATATACCCTTTTATATCACTCGCATATCACATGAGTTGAGAGTTTTGAGAGATTGCATAAGTTGTGAACTTTGGGCGCTCTGGAGTGTTATGGTATGCTCTTCGTTGTTTATCAGTGACGGCAGATTCTAAGGAACCCATTTGATATTAACTTTCGAAGCGGATAAACCTTGGTATAGCGGACTTTGGCCTTGCCTTCGGCATTTGTTCAAAAATACAATAAAAAACGAGAACGTATTCTTTCGTAAGTTGTGTAAATTAATGCCAACGAATTTGTATAGTTTCTATTGATGTCCCCGACCTATTCCAATGTTTATCTACCTTTACTAATGGGTGGTATAGGAAAGAGAGAGAGAGAAAGTGAATGTGTGAACTAGAGAATCCGATTACGCAACCACTCTCTGGCTTTTTATTTCAAACTGCCAGTCTAATTTTAATTTTTCTCTATATATACTCTTTTATTTATTGATACTATCTTTAATCAATTTAAATGTTTTTATTATCAGCGTTTTGGTTTTTGGCAGATATCCAGAAAACCCAATGCATAACATAATCTTTTTTGGGCTTCAATTTCTGATTTGATTATAATATTTATGAAGGTCAGAATGTTACCTAATTTTCGCTTGCTTTGATAATTATTATCTATTTAAAGAGTGGAAATGGGAAATTACTTTGTGTACTAAGGCTCCATGATATTATATCATATCCTAAAAGTTATGGTTTTCTTTGTTTGGTTAAGAATTTTTGTTATTATGTCATTAAACACTTTTGGTTACGGTTTATGCAATTAAGCAAACTTCCATGCTTTCCTTGTTTTTGTATTTCCCACCATTTTGTTGTCTTCTCATTTTCACTACATAAATGCATATATTCGTTTTCTTTCCGGTTGCAGGTGAAAACAACAAACAGAACAACATCTGGAGAGGGACACCTGACATCATCGTTTTATTGTAGCATCCATTGTTTGTTCGTTCTTGCCATCTATCAGAGCTTAGCTCTTTTGGAGGATATCCCCCACCTCACTTGTTCCCACCACCCATCAAGATAATTCATTGAATTCAAAGATCGGACAAATAAAAAACAAGCGGCAAGATGTTCATCGAAGATGATGCGCAGTAAGTAGATATATTTGATCAAATCTGTCTTATTTTATGCTTGCCTTTATTGTATTCCATGTGTTATTGCTAGCTTTTGGTTATGGTTTTTTGGATAAGGGGAAAAATATAATAGTGCAATGTATTTCATCTGAAAAGCTGTCTTTCATTCAAATTTTTGCTTACAAAGAAAAAAAGTAATCTTTTCGAGTTTTTGAAATTGGGATACTCTAAGAATAACGAGTCACATTTGCAGCTATAAATGCAGATTTCATTGCTTGAGATGTTAATTGAAACCAAGTAATTGAGCCATAAATAAATAAAATTACTAATAGGAAGTGACCAATCATTTTTCCTGTAAAATACTGCAATTTTTAAACTTATCGTTCAGGGAAATGGGCGTCATACCGACTTGCGCAATCGAAGTTCAAGGCTGATTTTCGATTTGCTGATCAGGCCACCACTTATACATAATGTCTTTATCAAGTGTGTAGTCTTCAACTACATTTTGCACTATGAATTGTAAAAACTGCCACACATAAGCTGTATATATTATTAGATTTTATATATGAATAAATGTGAATCTCAGCATGACTCGTTTTCGAAGATAACTAGCTTCTAGCTTAGTTAGTTAGTAACTGGTTTTCAATATAACCCAACAACGGGCGATAATCAATTGCGGATAAGCCAAATTCCTAGTACAGTACCTTTCCGTTTTTCAAATGAAACTTGTACTATTTTAATTAATTTAGCATTGCGATAATAAGTTTATCTAGTGTTCTGGTGACAAACGGTCAAATTTTTAATGAGAAAACAAAATTTAAAAAATATTTGGCATGAGTGTTTTGTCTAAATGCAATTAAATAAAGTGATAAAAAAACGGAATAATGGCGGCACTCTTAATGGAATTGCAAAGAAAGTGAGATTTGCTGACAAAATATTGGGAATTTTTCGGGTGTTGATAAGTACAAAAATAAACTAGAGATAGCCGTGTGAAAGAAATAGTTTAGTAAACTACTTGGTTCTAAAACAAAAAGTCAAGGATTTTAACGTAAAAGTGTAAAGCAGTACGACCCATAAATTAGGTCAACCTTTTGTGAAGTATTTCACATCATAAAGATAGCTCGATGATTAATGAAATATAGCAAATGTCCTTCATTTTTGATACGTTTTATAGGGTAATTGCCAACCAATATAGTTGGCTGTAGATTGCTCTTCGATGGTCGATAAGAAGTCAGACGTCTGGAAAGGTCCAGACGAGTTCCAGACATATGTACACTTAAGATTTAGATCATTACAATGGCGTACCACTCGGGCCCCATGAGGGTGAGGTATTACTGGCGATTCTGGTCTCGGCTCGTTACGGCTAATCAATCTCTAGCTGATAAACAGCCGAACACCCCGGAGCGCTCCACTTGCTATCGCCCGTTTGAAAAGCGTTTTCTGAGCACCGAGAATCGAACTGAGCGTGAGAGTCTACCCCTTTCCGCTTTCGGACTTTCAAGACCTGCTAACTAACAGTGGCAGCAGCAGCAGGTGGTGATATCAGTTGGTTTTCGGCTTGCGACGGCGCTACAACGAGTGGGTGGGTGCAGTGGGAGAAACCGGGGCGTATACGTGATGAGCCGTGGAAACCGATAGTTCTTCCCTACTCAAATTTGCATACCAATTGGCCACTAATTGTATTTTTTATTGCCATTCCAGAATGGACAGCTTTTGGGTGCAGAGCGCCATTGGCGCGATCAAGGCGATCGCCTTCATGTACGACATCATCACGCTGCCGGTCTACCTGGTGCTGCAAAAACCCTGGAAACGCCGACAGGACTCGCGTCGGGTGAAGGTGAGTAGTTTGGCAGGCATCCGAACTAACTTTGCTAGTGGAAAATAGTGAAAAAAGCCACTCACTTACGCGGCCAATCAGTGCGACGGCTGTAACTATCTCTAGAATCGAGTAGTTGAAATACTTTCGACTTTGCCCTGACCGTTCCAAAGTACAGATACTTGGCTACCTAGCTACAATCGCTTGCTTTAGTTTCGTATATATATTTTTCAAAACTGCACCCTTGCTTATCAGTTTGATTACGTTTTTTCACGTTAATTTCCTTACCTCGGAGCTTGTTCCAGGCAGGTGCCTCTTTTATTTCATTTCTATTTTCTATCTACGTGCATGACTTTTGATTTATTGACCAGGTCCACTTTTTCCCCTATCTATTTGTCTTTATCAGAGATTCACTTTTTATACGGCCATTAGCCCAAGCGATTTTCTTCATTTCGTTTTGCTTTATTATTTCGCGAATGTTAGGACACTCATAAAGACAACGCAGGTGGTCCTGATAAGGGAATCGTGTAGAGTAAGACAATGGGGAATTTTGTTAACTGCAGAAAAACTAGGAAGTTATCTTACGTTCAACTAATGTTTTATATGCATAGTTAGCCATGATAGTATAAAAGACCTCAGCTGTCAGCCGAGGAATAACACAAATATTTCTAAACAAGAGCTAACTGGAACTGTTCTCCGGAAAATAAATTCGTCCTATTCTTAATAACTTCAAATATGCCATTCAAAAGCTGGATTTGGCTGCCTGGCGTTAAGGCCGAGAATGACGAAGAGGAGTTAGTCGATCCGCAAGCAGCCCTTAGGGAGAAATGCCAAGCTAAGGGTCATATTGATTCCCTTTACAAAAAGTATCAAGAGTGCAATGATCGTGTAAACGGGAAATCAAAAACAACAGAGACGTGCATGGAGGAATTATTCGACTTCGTTGCTGAATTGGACCATTGCGTTGCCCACAGTCTTTTCAAAAAACTGAAATAACTAAATAGTCACGGATCAAAACATTCGCTGCACAAGAATTAAATTAGCAATTGAATAAACGGCCCTATAAAATTCAAGAAAATGTAGACTTCTTAGAACAAAAATATAATTATTTCCAGCTAAAACTCGTTCAGGAAATGCCCAGCTGAGGGTCTCTTTATCTGATTTTCACTATCTAAATGGAGCGCCAAAAAGCTGGCCTTTTCAGTCGCCGGATAAGGTTTATGGGTTTCGGTTATGTTAACGTCAAAAGCTAAAACCGCTTGCATCATAAATTTAGTGTGTAACTTGCTATAAACTTCTTAAATAGTAAATTGCTATACATTGCTTTTAGTGAAATCCGGCTGATGGATCATAAATAACAAGGGTGATATGGTACATGTATATTAGGGACTAGCAAATCTTTATCCGATACCATGGCTAAACCAGCTTCTCATCGCATATCTCAACTCCTCCTTCCTCTACAGGCAAAGCCCATTAACCAGAAAATGTTGGTCGCTGAGTCCAAGTACGCGCCGGATGACATTGAGGTTTAACTTTTGCAAATGTGTTTTTAATAATTTTATAATACTATCTGTTATGGAACATACAAACATTACACAAACACACACACACACAAACACATTGGGGCACCCCCATACAACACACACATATACACACTACACACGCACAATAAATGTTCCAAGGACTGGTGTTCGTACCCAGAGTTGAATCCCCTGTTTGGAGACTCTTTTTGGTGTTGGTCAACGAAACATGATCTCCTGAGTTATGGCCCTCACCTCAACAAACCCTCAAAATCTCACATGTCTGTTATCTCTCTGTCGATTTTTCTATGGTGTCCCTCCCCTAATCTGGCGTTTTTTTCAAATCGCAACCTCTGGCACGACGTTAAACTAATCGCCCCGATTTCGCACATTTTCCAGGCTAAGATCGTGCGGAACGATGACAATGAGCTGACCTACCGAACTACGGATCCGCCGCGTGATGTCCACGTGAAGATGTTGCAGGAGAACATCGACACGCTGGAGAAGGTCTTCAACTATGTGGCAAAGACGTACACGTCTAAGCGCTGCCTGGGCACCCGCCAGATCCTCAGCGAGGAGGACGAGGTGCAGCCGAACGGCCGTGTCTTCAAGAAGTACAACCTGGGCGACTACAAGTGGAAGACGTTCACCGAGGCGGAGCGCACGGCGGCTAATTTCGGACGCGGTCTGCGGGAACTGGGCCAGAAGCCTCGCGAGAACATTGTCATCTTTGCCGAAACGCGGGCCGAGTGGATGATCGCTGCCCACGGATGCTTCAAGCAGGCTATGCCCATTGTCACCGTCTATGCCACACTGGGCGATGATGGAGTGGCCCACTGTGAGTACACTGCCTAATCATGTTTGCGCTCCCGAAATAACATGCGAATCTGTTGCCAGGCATCACCGAAACGGAAGTCACCACGGTTATCACCTCCCACGATCTCCTGCCCAAGTTCAAGACTCTGCTGGACAAGTGCCCGCTGGTGAAGACCATTATTTACATCGAGGATCAGCTGCAAAAGACAGAGACCACTGGCTTCAAGGACGGCGTCAAGATCTTGCCCTTCAGCCAGGTGGTTAAGACCGGACAGGAAAGCAAATTCGGTAAGTGTGATTTGTTTTATTATCGATCAAACGATAAATTTGTTAGCCAATGAGCATTGGGGCATCACACCGAAAAGGTTTTGGCCTCGGCATGTTCTCCATCGACAATATCCTCATGCGCCCGAGACATTGCCCTCGATGTGGAAGTGGCCTCTGATACTGTCGGGGCTTCGGGGTCATCGTTGTCCCCCACATTAGTATTTTTATCGAATTCATCATGGCCATTCTTCTCGGGTACTTCGTCATCACTATCTGGGCCTTGTTTTAGATCAGCTTGAGGCATGTGGTTGCAATAGCGCCATCTGTTTGAGAGGCCGAATATATAAATGGATCTTAAGCACCTTACTTGTCTTACCGCATGTCAGTGCTGGAAAACTCTATGGGCTGCAACAGGATCGGCTTCGCTTGATCCACAAATTCTTTCACTGGGCTCGGACCTGGTTCTAAGTTCAGATCATCTGCTTTTGCCTCAAGTGTGACTCCCTCTGATATCTTCTCCCCATCTCCTCCTTGTTTCGAGGAATATGTTCGATATGCACGAAGGACGAGGACCCCGCAGTATACGCCAAAAAGAGTGAAAAACACAAAGCAGCTCCTCGGTTTTCCTGATGTGGCTCCTAGCAAGGCATTGCACTGTTGCACACAAGTCAAGGGCGTCAGAGTGATGAACTCCTCTAGGACCTCGGCCATTTTGATTCGAGTCTTTAATTTAAAAGATAACCTACACAATTTTGAAACAATTTTTCTTCGATACCGAAATGGTTCGGTACTTATTAAAAATTTAGGCAGAGGTGACAGGATGGGGATAGCATGCTCGGCTTGATAATTACGCCTGGATTAGAATGATATGAGCAAAGCTAATTTTGTTTGCAATCCCTCAGAGAACGTGCCACCCAAGGGCGACGACATTGCCATCATCATGTACACTTCCGGCTCCACTGGCACACCCAAGGGAGTCCTGCTGTCTCACAAGAACTGCATTGCTACGATGAAGGGCTTCGTTGACATGGTTCCTATCTATCCGGATGATGTTTTGATCGGATTCCTACCCCTGGCCCATGTTTTTGAATTGGTTGCGGAGAGTGTGTGTCTCATGACCGGCGTTCCCATCGGCTACTCGACCCCGCTGACCCTGATCGACACTAGCAGCAAGATCCGACGCGGCTGCAAGGGCGACGCCACCGTGCTGAAGCCCACCTGCATGACTTCGGTGCCGCTGATTCTGGATCGCATCTCCAAGGGCATTAACGACAAGGTCAACTCGGGCTCGGCGTTCAGGAAATCGCTCTTCAAATTCCTTTACCAGTACAAAGTCAAGTGGGTGCAGAGGGGCTACAATACGCCGCTTATTGACAAGTAAGAAGAGTGCACTTAGCATGGTCATGAGTTGGTTACTAAATCTAGTTCGTTTGCAGATTGGTATTCAAGAAGGTGGCAAAGTTGATGGGCGGCAAAGTGCGCATTATCATGTCCGGTGGAGCGCCTCTGTCAGCAGACACCCATGAGCAAATCAAGACCTGCCTGTGCTTGGACCTTATTCAGGGCTATGGTCTCACGGAAACCACGTCCGGAGCCACAGTAATGGATTGTAAGTGATTTCAGATAACGCTTATCGTTAAAATTGACTAATCATCTCAAACCAACTTAAGACCGTGATATGACCTATGGGCGCACTGGAGGACCGTTGACTGTTTGCGACATTCGTCTGGTCAACTGGGAAGAAGGCAACTACCGCGTCACAAACAAGCCATATCCTCAGGGCGAGGTTCTCATTGGCGGCGATTGTGTCTCCCAGGGCTATTACAAGCTGCCCGGCAAGACCAACGAGGATTTCTTCGAGGAGGACGGGCAAAGGTGGTTCAAAACCGGCGACATTGGCGAAATACAAGCTGATGGCGTACTTAAGATTATAGGTAGGTTTACTAACAGAATGTATACGGATCCGTTTCTGATGTTCCGCTTTCTGCAGATCGTAAGAAGGACCTGGTCAAGCTGCAGGCCGGCGAATATGTCTCCCTGGGCAAGGTTGAATCTGAATTGAAAACGTGCGGAATTATCGAGAACATTTGCGTATACGGAGATCCCACAAAGCAGTTTACAGTGGCGCTGGTCGTCCCCAACCAAAATCATCTTGAGGAACTGGCCCAGAAACATGGACTGGGAGACAAGACATTCGAGGAGCTCTGCTCATCGCCCATTATAGAGAAGGCTATACTCAAGGAAATTGCAGAGCACGCGCGGAAATGTAAGCTACTGTGGAGACATTAATATATTTCCTATGTGCTGATATCGAATATCTTTATCTTGCAGGCAAGTTGCAAAAGTTCGAGGTTCCCGCCGCCATCACATTGTGCAAGGAGGTTTGGTCTCCGGACATGGGACTGGTAACGGCCGCCTTTAAACTGAAGCGCAAGGATATCCAGGACAGATATCAGCATGATATTAACCGCATGTACGCCTCATGAAAGTCAATGTACTAAACGAGGGCTATCTGATGCAGCAACGACAACAACACGGAGACAACTACATTAGTGGAGCAGCAGCAATGAAGCTAGTGTGTACTAATGGCGATTTAGTAGCACCCCACACGGCATAGGCCTGCATACCAAATCCAAAACCAACCTAGCTTAAGTCCTAAAAGATCCGAAAGCCGAGCAAAACATATGAGAAAACGATTAGTCATATTGTGCATGTAAAGACAGAAAGTTCTCAGTTACCTATTGGTTTTGTTCCCTTTCGTTTGCTAGAATTTTGAAAATTACTCGTTTCTCATCCTAATAAAGTACAGTTCGTTGAATTTTTGTTGGTACATAGCTGCAGCTGGGTTTGGTTTGGAAATGCGCTGTGCATGTGCTTAGAATGCTGTTGAACAGATTGACAATGATAAAGATAATGATAACTGATTGCCGATGATGAGAATGAATATTGTAAACTGTACAGTTTTCGGTTTTTAGAACATTTTGTGGCAAATGAATATTGCATAAAAAATACTTATTTTTATATTAAGCTTAAGTGGTTGCCTATTAATTATGTACATACGATATATACACACATCTATATAAATGCATATATGTGTATAATAAATCTAATATTTAGTGTACTCCTTTATGCTAAGTTTATTGTATGGAAATTTTGAAGTGATGAAATGTTGAAAGAAGAAAAGAAAGCGACTTGATTATGAATTAAAAGCAACAACTGCAAAGTGAAGACCGTAAGAATTTCCCTGGCATATGCTTCTCTTTGGCGCAGAAAAAAGCATCTAAACACAAATGGAACCATCCAAAAATTATTTTTAATTACACAAAGGCAAAAAGGTTACAAAGGCAAGTGTAAAATATATTTTAGCTCAATTTAGTTAAAGAAAAACCATCAAATGAATTTTATTAAATATATTATGTCAAACACGTAACGAGAAAAGTCAAAATTAAAATGCAACAAATGAAAGACTTAGTACCAAAATATATAAAAATGGAAAACGCTAGTAGGCCAACAAAAAGGCCTAAATTAACGAACTAAAAAATAAAAACATTTGTTTTAGATGTGCAAGATCTTTTTGAATAAATTGTAGTCATATTTTTAGTTAAACTATATATATTTAGAAAACGTTTAGCAATATTTGTGGAAACGTTGCGTTTCTTTAAAATATAATTCAACTGATAATAACATACATTTTCGATTTCTATAAAAATTACGAGGGCAGGAGTTCGTACTCGTATCTCGGATTTCGAAATTGAACACTTATCACGCTGATCAAATACATAATTTTAATAATAACGAAATGAGTTATAAATAAATAAAGATATAAGGCAATTATTACAAATAAGTATCAACGCATTATTATATTTTGGATCGTATGAAATACTGGATAAATCAATAAATGAAACTATTTTCTAGTTTTACTTGAGCGGTAAGCAAATATATTGATTTGGAAAGGGGTTTTCGATTTAAAGTTGTCGAATAATCTACCACGTTGTCGGGCTCCTCCTTCAAGTGGGAGTACCCCCTCAAAAAGTTGCAGCTGTTGCAGGGCATCGTCTGGCCGGATCTTGCCACCCGTGGGCTTGGACTTCTACCAATTCGCAGTGCGTGCCTCCACAGGCTTGTCCTCGACAACGATCTTGGTCTGCAGACTGGAGATCTGCGTCTGGATGGCCATGTTCTTTCGCTTGATAATCTCGTTGAAGGCAGACCACTTACCCTTGATGTTGTCCTCACACAGCCAGTTGTTGAGGAACTGGAACCGCTGGCGCTCGAGGAGCTCCCTGAACACCTCCACCTGCAACTCCAGATGGGAAAAATGCTTCCTGCTGTGGAAGCTGCCACTTGGAGAGTACCTCCTTGTGCCAGGAATCGCATTTCAAAGTATCATTAGCGTGCTCCTTAGCATAATCAAAAAATATAATCTAGTGTCAGAATCTGATTTCAATCAAATGCACAGACTTTCACAGAATATGCGCGTAGTGGCCGAATAGTTATTATCGGGCAACTTATAATGCTTTTATTATGTATTTAATAATATAAACAATTTTATTTAAATTTAGAATAATTTATAAAAACAATTATAATAATAACAACATGCCACACCATCTTTATATTTTTAACTGTATATATAATGCTTTATTTATAAATTAATAATTTGAATTTAAATATTCAATTTATTTATCATTATTTAATATTATTATTTATTAATTATATTATTTAAAATAAAGCAATAGCTGGAAAAAATAACTTTCGTCGTTTCGTTTTATAATAGACTGATTTATTTTCGTCGTGACGTCACGTCATTGAAATTGAATTGCTTTTTCTGATCATTTGATTTACCCTCAACAACAGAACTTGCCGTTTATTTTGAAAGTTCTCAACAGATGGCGTTAGAAGGTAGTGTTAGAAACGTCATGGTGTTTGGAATACAACACGATCAAGTCAGGATGGCCGAGTGGTCTAAGGCGCTGCGTTCAGGTCGCAGTCTACTCTGTAGGCGTGGGTTCGAATCCCACTTCTGACAAGATTTTTTTTTCATGTATTTGCTTTTACCCCTTGACCGCAGTCCTCTTAAATTAATTATTTGCATATCTTGCCTCCTCGGTCGCCGTTAATTGCACTGTGCAAAGAGCTCGGCAGATGCGCTCAGCCGCATTAATTTGTTTGAGCCTTTGACTTGTTCGCTCGCACTTGTTTGCCAATGTAAATGACACAATTAGCACGCCTGGCTGCGTTCCACTTGCTGCAGTGTTTACTGTAGTGCCATTGCCCCACTGTGCCATGTTTGTTTGCGCCCGTGTCTCTGTTTGTTTACTCCAATGACTTTGAGCATTTTTAAAGCAGTAAAACAACAAGGAATTGATAATGTCCTGTTGGGCAAATGTTGGGCACTTGGGTCCTTTAAGTCAAATATAGCTTAAAACAGCATTTTTCTTGTGCAGGGAAGTTATTCTTGGGTATCCACTGAGGTAATTAAGTAAAGGTTCCATTAAATTGTTTAATATTCGGAAAAGTGCAGGATATTATAATTAAAAGAAAAGTTACAAATATATTTTCTATTGATATCAAACTGTGTCTCGAAAAATCTAGGATAGATAAATACTTGTTGGTTTTTTAATAAAACAGGCAAGAGTTGAATACTTTTAGGCACTCGGGACAGGCCCAGACACTCTGAAGTGGCCGCCAGGACCTAGTTCCTACAACATTCA